TAAAATAAATTTTTTAAATTAAACTAATAATTAATATAATAAAAATTAAATTAAATCAATTTTGTAAGCCAAAGTTTAATATTTCGCCACTCCCACCCTTGGTAATGTAAAAAATAAGACAGATCAACTGCAAAAATTAGTGAAATTATTCAACGTGGAAGAGCCTCTCAAGCTTTACCCATCATATCCCTGGTCCTCTTTTCATTTTTTTTTTTTTTTGGTTTACCATCCGCTATCCGGGATTTCGTCTCCACTAATCTAAATTTACCCGTGTCATGCACTTAAAAATAATGGATGAATTTCTAATCAAAGATACTATATGCACAAAATTTCAAACACAACATTTTATTTAAATTCAAACAAATCGCTTAGTATTTAATCAACTTCTCATTGGTGTCCTCTTTTCATTTTCTTGTACACAAAATGATTGCACTGAATGGACTTTGCCTGTATTATCATCACATGTGCCCTACACATCGCATCTTTTCTTGAAAATCAAAAGCAAAAAAGTAGTGAAGTGACTAAAGTTTGTCATCCATTATAGCTGCTTTCGATAAACAGTATATTATGCATTAATTATATTCTCTCTCTCTGGATCACTTGCGCAGTTGTGGAAGGGATTGCGCGTTATGCATTCTTCGGTGCATAACACGTGGTAGTGCAATTATAATGCTGAATTATTGACAGACTCCTTTAAGTCTGATGTGATTTTTTTTTTCCTCACTTTTTAATATTTTATTTTTATAAAAAGTTTTTTTAAAAATAAATTTTTAACTTATATTTTTAAAATATAATTAATATATATTTTTTATAAATTTATATTAAAAATTAATTTTTAATTTATTAATTATTTAATTAAATTTATTTACTTAACATAATATTAAAATTAAAATTAATTTTTATATTTTTAATATGTATTTTTAGAGTAAAAATTATAAAAATTTAGAAATAAGTTATGTATTATAGAATATTTCAAAGAATGAACGATATAACTCTTTTTTTTTTTAAACAAAGTTATAATTATAGAAAAGGGAGGAATGGAACCTCTACTCTTAAATTAAAAAATGTATCTTACAAGTCGATCTATGATCATTGGGTCATGAAACCCAAATGCAACTTTTTTTTTTTATTATTACCTCTAAAAACAAAATAATAAATATAGATTTAATCCATTAACATCTTACCAGTTTTTTAGAGTCCTACTTTAAGGTCTCATTTGGTATAACAGTTTTGGAGTAATGATTAACGGTTTTATCTAACCTGTTAAATATAAGTGTTTGATAAATTTATATATTTTAAAACCGCTACAACTAAAGTGTTTGGTAAAATTTTATTTAGTGGTTTGATACTAGTGAATAGCAGTTAGGGTCTAAGGGCCTGTTTGGTACAGCGATTAAAATTTAGCAGATAGCGG